AAAAAAAAAAAAAAAGTAGACCCTAACCTCTCTATGAAGACTGAACTGAAATCGGATTTGGGCTATGTTTTCAATTTTTGTATTACTGCTTCTCTCGAGAATGGTTGCATGAAAACATTTATTCAACAAATATTTATTTACTACTCTTCTTCAGAAAATATTACAAAAGGAAAAGAAAAACTGTCCCGGGCAGTGGGGCCAATCATTCAGATCCCATGGGGACACTGCTGCCTAAAAGTCACGGCTGTACTAGGTTAGAGGCTGTGGTGCTGGCGACTTGGCACCTGGAAAATCATGAAAAACAAAAGCAATTCATCTCTCCATCCCCAGATGGAGAATTATCAAAGATCAGCCAGAAGAAAGGCTAAATGCCCCACTTGACAGCTGTCCATGCTGAGTGCCTGTGGTGGCTGGGGTTTGGGTAAAGGCATGGACTTCTAAAAAGGAACTCTAAGTAGGGGTGAGAGAAAGTGCCAGAAGATTTCTTTTTTCTTTTTCTTTTTTTTTTTTGAGACAGATCCTCACTATGTTGCCCTCAGTAGAGTGCTATAGTATTATAGCTCACGGCAACCTCAAACTATTGGGCTTAAGCGATTCTCTTGCCTCAGCTTCCCAAGTAGCTGGGACTATAGGAGCCTGCCACAATACCTGGCTATTTTTTGTTGCCGTTGTCATTGTTGTTTAGCTGGCCTGGGCTGGGTTCGAACTTGCCACCCTCGGTGTATGTGGCTGTCACTGTAACCACTGTGCTATGAGCGCTGTGCCCAGATTTCTTTAATGTTTTCCCATTCCTGCCCACAGCATTCCCTTCATATCACTTATCAGTTTGTAACGGTATATTATTCATCTCTGAAACTGTCTTATAATGTTGGTTTTCCCCACTAGAGCTAAGATAGTAGCCACCATTCCCTGTGCCACTGAGCACTTGAAATGTGGCTATTCTGAACTGAGATGGGCTGTAAGTATAAAATACAGGATTTCTAAGTCTTCAATATTTATTCACTGAATATTAATTTTCATTCTGAAAAAAGGAATGCAAAATATCCCTATAATGTTGTATATAGACATATTGAAATGTT